AAATGCGAACAAGCCTGAATGGTCCCCAGGCTTGTTCGTCCCCCCATTTATACGACCGGACATAATCGTGATGGTCAAGTGGATTAAGGCGTCTTGTACATACCAGTTGCGTGGCATCTGGGAGTATGGGTTCGAGTCACTTCTGGGGTGTGAGTTTTCAGTTGCATATTGTCCTGGGGACCATTCAGGCTTGTTCGCATTTGTGTTCCTCACGTGTGCCCCCAAAGAATGAGGTGATTTGGTAAAATGCTATGCCCAAGATTACTATCCGAGTGCCGGCGGTGGGGTGGTTCAAATAGCCTCGGCTATCACCTCATTATGTCCGGTCGTGATGGTCAAGTGGATTAAGGCGTCTTGTACATACCAGTTGCGTGGCATCTGGGAGTATGGGTTCGAGTCACTTCTGGGGTGTGAGTTTTCAGTTGCATATTGTCCTGGGGACCATTCAGGCTTGTTCGCATATATATATATATATATATATATATATAGTATATATATATATATATATATATATATATATAAATATATATATGATGCACAACTCTCCTAAACACGAGAGTAAAGTTATACAACTTTAGAACACTTTCCCACCAGGAGACTTGAACCCTAGCTGTATAAGTATAACTTCTATAACTTCTTAGTATGAAGTTGTATAACTTCACTCTCGTGTTTAGGAGAGTTGTGCATCAAGCATAGACACAGTGTTCTCCCATATTAACAGGGACTTGATGAAAAACGTAAAAATGACCCCTCACTTGCTCTAGTGCTCTTGGGAGATGGTGGTCTTTGGTGTGTATAAATACTCCGAAATTACCATCTCTTTTAAGGGTCTGAGCGTGGTGCAGTGGGTTAAAGGCGTACCTGTTATGCCAGTTGCTGGAAGGCTTCTGTGCTGGCTAGGGTTCGAGTCTACTGGTGGGAAAGCGTTCTAAAGTTTTGTGTGTGTGTATGTGTGTATATATATATATATGTATTATATATATATGTATTATATATATATATAAATATATATATATATATATATAATATATATATATATATATATATATATATATAATATATATATATATATATATATATATATAATATATATATATATATATATAATATATATATATATATATATATATTTGTGTGTATGTGAAATACATATTTTTGAGGAATTTTTAAGCATAAGAAAAATTGCATATTAGCCAAAGGAAAAATGTAATATAAGATTAAATATGGGTTTTTCCCACTGACACTGTTGCTGGAGCCGCGGAACGGAATTATTGATCTAGATTATCTCTGATAGACCCCGCCCTAGTTCATGGCTTTTGAAGTTCAGTGAAGTGGACGACAATGTTAGAGAGAGAGAGAGAGAGAGAGAGAGAGAGATGGATGTCAGCTTCGTCCTAAAGATGTCAGCTTCGTCCTAAAGATGTCAGCTTCGTCTTAAAGATGTCAGCTTCGCCCTATAGATGTCAGCTTTGTATACTTAGAATATTGGTTTAGGATAATGTCAACTCACATCCGGACATGCTCCTCGTGGTAACAGCAGTGGTGGAGGCAGAGTTCCTACAACTTACTTTAAGAAAGCTACAATTAGCGTGTAGCTATATACGCGGAATTTAATTATTTATCTCCCCCACAACACTGGTCCAGTCCAACTTTCGTGGGTGAGTAATGATTGATTAATCCGGGGATGAATAAAGTAAGCTCTGAGTTGGGAATTTAGGACATTAGTGGTATGTTATGTGGACCGGTTTGGTCCACATAACCTCCTGGTGGAGGAGGTGGTGGGTACAGCCACCAGACTATAGTGGAGGAGGTGGGTACAGCCACCAGACTATAGTGGAGGAGGAGGGTACAGCCACCAGACTATAGTGGAGGAGGTGGGTACAGCCACCAGACTATAGTGGAGGTGGTGGGTACAGCCACCAGACCATAGTGGAGGAGGTGGGTACAGCCACCAGACTATAGTGGAGGAGGAGGGTACAGCCACCAGACTATAGTGGAGAAAGAGGGTACAGCCACCAGACTATAGTGGAGGAGGTGGGTACAGCCACCAGACTATAGTGGAGGAGGTGGGTACAGCCACCAGACTATAGTGGAGGTGGTGGGTACAGCCACCAGACTATAGTGGAGGAGGTGGGTACAGCCACCAGACCATAGTGGAGGAGGAGGGTACAGCCACCAGACTATAGTGGAGGAGGTGGGTACAGCCACCAGACTATAGTGGAGGAGGAGGGTACAGCCACCAGACTATAGTGGAGGAGGTGGGTACAGCCACCAGACTATAGTGGAGGAGGAGGGTACAGCCACCAGACTATAGTGGAGGTGGTGGGTACAGCCACCAGACTATAGTGGAGGAGGTGGGTACAGCCACCAGACTATAGTGGAGGAGGTGGGTACAGCCACCAGACTATAGTGGAGGTGGTGGGTACAGCCACCAGACTATAGTGGAGGAGGTGGGGTACAGCCACCAGACTATAGTGGAGGAGGAGGGTACAGCCACCAGACTATAGTGGAGGAGGTGGGTACAGCCACCAGACTATAGTGGAGGAGGTGGGTACAGCCACCAGACTATAGTGGAGGAGGTGGGTACAGCCACCAGACTATAGTGGAGGAGGTGGGTACAGCCACCAGACTATAGTGGAGGAGGTGGGTACAGCCACCAGACTATAGTGGAGGAGGTGGGTACAGCCACCAGACTATAGTGGAGGAGGTGGGTACAGCCACCAGACTATAGTGGAGGAGGAGGGTACAGCCACCAGTCTATAGTGGAGGAGGAGGGTACAGCCACCAGTCTATAGTGGAGGAGGTGGGTACAGCCACCAGACTGTAATGGATGAGGTGGGTACAGCCACCAGACTGTAATGAAGGAGGTGGGTACAGCCACCAGACTGTAGCTGGTCACAGTCTCCTGGTGGTGGTGGTGACAGCTACAGCGGACGACCTGCCATGCTATAACACCACTCTAGGGAGCCCTTACAGCGTGTGCCGGCAGATGTTGTCTTAAACACAAGCTTTAGCGCCACTGTTCCCTCACAGTGGCGCCCGGAGCCTCCGCTCCGTCCTCCTTCCTCAAGTCGTCTTAATATATTTCCTGCCTTAGTCTCCGGGTCTCTAAGTAACTTTTAATTTAAGATAACTGAAAATTTCAAGGAGGGAAACTATAATCTGGTTAGTTAATTAGGTGTGAAAGATAGGTTAGGTAGTCGAAAAAAAATTCATGAAAACTTGGCTTATTAGGCAAATCGGGCCTTGCATAGTAGGCTGAGAAGTGCGTTCTGGCTACTAGGTACGACATATATATATATATATATATTATATATATATATATATATATATATATATATATATATATATATATATATATATATATATGTCGTACTAGTAGCCAGAACGTACTTCTCAGCCTACAATGCAAGGCCCGATTTGCCTAATAAGCCAAGTTTTCATGAATTAATTGTTTTTCGACCACCTAACCTACCTAACCTAACCTAACCTAACTTTTTCGGCTACCTAACCTAACCTAACCTATAAAGATAGGTTAGGTTAGGTAGGGTTGGTTAGGTTCGGTCATATATCTACGTTAATTTTAACTCCAATAAAAAAAAATTGACCTGATACATAATGAAATGGGGTAGCTTTATCATTTCATGAGAAAAAAATTCGGGAAAATATATTAATTCATGAAAACTTGGCTTATTAGGCAAATCGGGCCTTGCATAGTAGGCTGAGAAGTGAGTTCTGGCTACTAGGTACGACACACACACATATATATATATATATATATATATATATATATATATATATATATATATATAATATATATATATATATATATATATGAAGGGAGTACCACCTCTAGCTGGAAGAAGGGGGACCCATAGCCTCGGAGGAAACCACGCATAACGCATTATATATATATATATATATATATATATTATATATATATATGTATATATATATATATATGTATATATATATATATATATATATATGTATGTATATATGTATATATATATATATATATATATATATATATATATATATATATATATAATATAATATACCACGTTTGACTGCTGTAAAGGGTTCTCCGTCGGCTACGGGCTGTTTTTAATAAGGAGGTCTGTAGTTTACATTGTTTTATTAAATATTAGGTCTGTTTTGGTTAGGAGTAATGCTTTTTACTCTTTTACGGATTATTTCTTTCATTATTCGTTCTTTTTTTATGTTCACTGTGCGTGGTTGATTTCTAATATTTATTGGTGGTGTTGTGGTTTCTGTTCTAGGTTCAGGATTGTACCATCAGTTCAAGTGTTGTCTTATAGTAGTGTTTATATTTGTTCCTATATCAATTGTTTATATATATATATATATATATATATATATATATATATATATATATATATATATATATATATAATATATATATATATATATATATAATAATATAGTTAGTGTAACAAACTTATTTATTTGTCAATAACAAAATTTTATCTTCAGCACTATAATTCACTTTTAGCTAATACTGTATGCCCATAAGAAGAGCTTCATCACTAAACCTCATACTTCTCATCACTAGCCATCCACCTCATCACTAGCCATCCTCCATATTGCCAGTCACTAACGTCTCTCATTATTGCTCTCCTCGTGCAGGGTGGGAGAGGCTGGTGGATCACAGGGAGCCGCTCTCTCGCCAGCTCTCCGTCTCCTCCGACTCCAAGCTCCTGGACGAGGATATCCGCAGCGAGCAGAAGGTGATCATGAGACCCAAGAGGCCGCCCAGACCCAAGTCTGAAGTCTACCTCTGTAAAGACACCCGCAAGTCTAAAAGATTCTCCGCGTTTGGGGTGAGTGTTGAATGTCCCGTGTTTGGTGGCTGTGTTGGGTGGAGAAGTCCCGTGTTTGGTGGCTGTGTTGGGTGGAGAAGTCCCGTGTTTGGTGTCTGTGTTGGGTGGAGAAGTCCCGTGTTTGGTGTCTGTGTTGGGTGGAGAAGTCCCGTGTTTGGTGGCTGTGTTGGGTGGAGAAGTCCCGTGTTTGGTGGCTGTGTTGGGTGGAGAAGTCCCGTGTTTGGTGGCTGTGTTGGGTGGAGAAGTCCCGTGTTGGTGGCTGTGTTGGGTGGAGAAGTCCCGTGTTTGGTGCCTGTGTTGGGTGGAGAAGTCCCGTGTTTGGTGGCTGTGTTGGGTGGAGAAGTCCCGTGTTTGGTGGCTGTGTTGGGTGGAGAAGTCCCGTGTTTGGTGGCTGTGTTGGGTGGAGAAGTCCCGTGTTTGGTGGCTGTGTTGGGTGGAGAAGTCCCGTGTTTGGTGGCTGTGTTGGGTGGAGAAGTCCCGTGTTTGGTGGCTGTGTTGGGTGGAGAAGTCCCGTGTTTGTGTCTGTGTTGGGTGGAGAAGTCCCGTGTTTGGTGGCTGTGTTGGGTGGAGAAGCCCGAGTTTCGACAATTACGCCCATAAAATCGTTATCGATTACGCCTATAAAATCGTTATCACTATCGTTATCTTGAGATGATTTCGGGGCTTAGCGTCCCCTAATTAGTGTACACGCCTATAAATTATCACCAATTACGCCTGTAAAATTGAATTAGATTAATTTGTAGATTTTTTTATTATTTTGCGTGTGGTGTAAACAAGTTGAGATTTTGGGGTAAATTTTGAGCGTTAGAAAACATCATCTTGTTTTACCCGCATAGTAGTTAAACGTTGGTGAGACGGGGGGCATCTTAGACACCAGGGGCTTAACCCGAAGAAGAAATCCTTGGCATTCTATACTAATTTAATTCTCTTGATTTAGTATACCCAACCACTTGAACTGGTCAGCAGGGCGACGGTCTTGCGTCTTACGGGGTTGGGGTTCGATCCCCGATGGTCCAAGTAGTTGGGCACAGTTCCTAACTATTTCTATCCGGAGATCCTTGTTTCCATATCCCTTACAGGTCTTGCCGGTTTAGGGGCTTTGCCCACATGACTGTCGTACCAAGTGGCGAGGTTCCTCTCACAGCTTGGACGTATCGTGTGGACTGACTGACAAGCCAGGCTTGACTTGTGAGAGCTTGGTCTACTAGGCTGTTGCTTGGAGCGGCCCGCAGGCCCATATACCCACAACAGCCCGGTTGGTCCGGCACTCCTTGGAGAAAACTATCTAGTTTTTTCTTGATGTCCACGGTTGTTCCGGCAATATTTCTTATGCTCGCTGGGAGGACGTTGAACAACCGCGGACCTCTGATGTTTATACAGTGTTCTCTGATTGTGCCTATGACACCTCTGCTCTTCACTGGTTCTATTCTGCATTTTCTTCCACGTCGTTCACTCCAGTACGTTGTTGTTTTAGTGTAGCCAGCACAAGTGATGGCATGTTTACCGCGGCTCTGTTGTTTGCGTTATTCATGCCCGTGTCACCTCCTGGGTGGCTTAATCTTCATCCATCAATCAATACTGTCGGGCCCACGATGATGATGTGGGTGTGTGATGCGGGTAGGTAATGTGGGTGTGGTGGTGATGATGGGGTGTGGTGATGTGTGTTGTGGTGATGTGTGGTGTGAAACATCATATAAAGAGGGGGGAGGGGGTTAATGGGGGAACCGTTTAGTGTACAAACAAGTGTGTGTGTGCGCGCGTGTCGCCCCATGAGGTAAGAATGGGGGACCTTGGCAAGATAGTGTCATGCCAGCTCTCATAATTCACCCATAATAATGTAAATACTGTTAATTATTAAGATGTGGAGCTCCGCCTGTTTGGTTGGGTTACATTGTTTCCTTAAGGATGTGATACCTGCTTGATGGGGTTCTGGGAATTCTTCTACTCCCAAGTCTTCTACTGATTTGTGAGAGTTTGATCCACCAGGCTGTTGCTTGGAGCGGCCCGCAGGCTCACATACCCATGTGTGTGGGGTTTTCTTACTGATCAGTTTTGTACCTTGGGGTGGGATACATGGATGGTTGGGATATGTCTTAGTGGGCAACCCGTTCTCGCAAATTTAATAAGTCAATATTGACTTATTAAATATGTGCATAGGTGACATACTTAACATAATAGATACCCTTAAAAAGATTCATAGAAAACACCGACCTTACCTAACCTTGTTATTATCTTAAGATAAGCATCTTATTGCTTCGTAATTACAATTATTACCTAACCTATAATAGGTATAGGTTAAGTAATAATTGTAATTACGAAGCAATAAGATGCTTATCTTAAGATACTAACAAGGTTAGGTAAGGTCGGTGTTTTCTATGAATCTTTTTAGGGGTATCTATTATGTTTAGTATATCACCTATGCACGTAGTTAATAAATCAATATTGACTTTACGAATTTGCGAGAACGGGTTGCAGTGGGATACATGCATGTGTACAATACAAGGGTGGAATCATTCTGGAAATAGCCAGTAACACAAGACTGTCTTGGTAGTGACAGTGGTATGGAAGTGGTTAACTACTGTGCCTAGCCGTAGTAATTACCTAGTTATGCCGTTATCCAGCTTAGTGGTTAATTATATGTTCTAGTTTGTTATTGGTTAAGCTGTGACTCGCTAGTAGCACTTCATTACTGAGTTGCGGGTTCCCGCCTGCGGCGATGCTACTGGCGGGCTAGTTGCGGGTTCCCGCCTGCGGCGATGCTACTGGCGGGCTAGTTGCGGGTTCCCGCCTGCGGCGATGCTACTGGCGGGCTAGTTGCGGGTTCCCGCCTGCGGCGACGCTGCTGGCGGGCTAGTTGCGGGTTCCCGCCTGCGGCGACGCTGTTGTCGGGCTAGTTGCGGGTTCCCGCCTGCGGCGATGCTACTGGCGGGCTAGTTGCGGGTTCCCGCCTGCGGCGACGCTGCTGGCGGGCTAGTTGCGGGTTCCCGCCTGCGGCGACGCTGTTGTCGGGCTAGTTGCTGGTTCCCGCCTGCGGCGATGCTACTGGCGGGCTAGTTGCGGGTTCCCGCCTGCGGCGACGCTGCTGGCGGGCTAGTTGCGGGTTCCCGCCTGCGGCGACGCTGCTGGCGGGCTAGTTGCGGGTTCCCGCCTGCGGCGACGCTGTTGTCGGGCTAGTTGCAGGTTCCCGCCTGCGGCGACGCTGCTGGCGGGCTAGTTGCGGGTTCCCGCCTGCGGCGACGCTGCTGGCGGGCTAGTTGCGGGTTCCCGCCTGCGGCGACGCTGCTGGCGGGCTAGTTGCGGGTTCCCGCCTGCGGCGACGCTGCTGGCGGGCTAGTTGCGGGTTCCCGCCTACGGTGATGCAGGGGACTTGAGGCAGGAGTCACAGCTTCTCACATTACAATGATTTCATTCAACCTTATTCCCATACTTCAATCTTTTCTCGTATTTCTATTTTTTCTCACACTTCTATCTTTTTCTCATACTTAAATCTTTTCTCATGCTTCTCCCCTATATCATTCACTCCCATTTCCTATACTTTCGCCTTCTCGCCTTTCAGCTGTCCAACCACTTGGGGTGGACGGTAGAGCAACGGTCTCCCTTCCTGCAGGTCGGCGTTCAATCCCCTACCGTCCAAGTGGTTGGCCACCATTCCCCCCCCCCCCCCCGTCCCATCCCAAATTCTTATCCTGATCCCTTCCAAATGTTATATAGTCGTAATGGCTTGGCTCTTTATCCTGATAATTCCCTCCCCTCCTCGCCTTTTACCTGTATAAACTGTGTTTATACAGGTGGATTTCATCCCCTGGGCTGTAGGGGGATTCGAACCGGGGACCCTACGCGTGTGGGGCCGAAGCTCTATCGACTGGACTAATGATCAGTCTTTTATTTTAATATGGGTAAACATATTTAACATGGGTATCCTCCCTGGGGAGCACCTCCTGCTAACACTTCCCAAGAGACGAGCAACTGATGGCATTCGAAGATGGTCTCGAAAACTGCTTCACTCACTTCCTGGGGCTCGAACGTGTCATAAAAGCTTCATCATTCATTAAATGCAAATAATTCCAACGGAGAAATATGATGATGAGTTAGAAAAAAAGTAGAAAAGAAAGGAGTGATATGAAGGGATAAAAATTTGAGAGAAATAAGAGACGGCGAGGAAGAGAAACAGAAGGAAAGTAGAGAGGAAGAGGTGGAGGAGAGAAGTCATTAATGAAGGATAGCCAGAAGGGGGTAGCCAGGAAAAAAGAAAATAATTACTGGGGTTCCTTGTTAATTCAACAGTAATATAATTCGGGACCATCAAAGTCGGCGGCGGGTCAACATTCCTAACGCAACACCCCGACAATTACACGACTGTGGGGGCAGAAGAGGGCTGCTTCACCACAGTTCTCTGGGGCCAGTTTCATTCGATTTCCCTATGCAGCGGACAGCCTTGTGGCCAAATATCATACCAAGTCCATGCCCCGAAAGCCTCTAGCATAGAGAACCTATCAACTTTACTTGCCACTAAAAAGTCACATATAGCATTAAGGTGCAGCTTACATGGATTTGAATATAGGATAACCGCCCAAAACCCACTTTCATTGTAACCTTTTAATCCTGTGGCACATTAAGCGGCGCAGTTCTCTCTCTCTAAAAGATTGTCGAGGAAATATTCAAAGAAAATGGATCGGTTTTTATGAAGCTCCAACCGTTTCAATTTCAAATTCGGTTAACGGTTCTCTTTGAGACATCTGAGGCTTAGACCCCGCCAGCCTTCTCAGTCTCTCTTCCAAAATCCTCTCTTATCCCCCCTCCCCCTTTCTCTCTCTCTTTATATATATATATATATATATATATATATATATATATATATATTATATATATATATATATATATATATATATATATATATATATATATATATATATGTCGTACCTAGTAGCCAGAACGCACTTCTCAGCCTACTATGCAAGACCCGATTTGCCTAATAAGCTAAGTTTTCATGAATTAATTGTTTTTCGACTACCTAACCTACCTAACCTAACCTAACCTAACTTTTTCGGCTACCTAACCAAACCTAACCGATAAAGATAGGTTAGGTTAGGTTAGGTAGGGTTGGTTAGGTTCGGTCATATATCTACGTTAATTTTAACTCCAATAAAAAAAAATTACCTCATAAATAATGAAATGGGTAGCTTTATCATTTCATGAGAAAAAAATTAGAAAAAATATATCAATTCAGGAAAACTTGGCTTATTAGGCAAATCGGGCCTTGAATAGTAGGCCAAAAAGTGAGTTCTGGCTACTAGGTACGACATATATATATATATATATATATATATATATATATATATATATATATATATATATATATATATATATATATATATATATATATATATATATTTGTATATTTGTATATTTTGGTAGCAGTCTTTCCTGTAGACATATATTATTAAATATGACCGAAAAAGTAAGATTAATAATTCTAACACGAATTTTCTCAATCTTTCGTACATTACGCTTCACTGTTGGAGGTAAATCAAAAATCACTTCTCCAAAATTCATTTTTATTTCTAGTCTGACGCGACACGGGCGCGTTTCGTAAAACTTATTACATTTTCAAAGACTTCACAAATACACAACTGATTAGAACTTACGTATCTCTGAGTTTATATCTACATTTGAGTGAGGTGGGAAGGGTGATGTGGCATTAGAACAAGATGGGATATTAATAGGGTATTAAAAGTATCAACACAAGACAGAACAGAAACAATGGGTATTGAATAGAAGTGTTTGTAGAAAGCCTATTGGTCCATATTTCTTGATGCTTCTATATTGGAGTGGAGTCTTGAGGTGGGTAGAATATAGTTGTGCAATAATTGGCTGTTGATTGCTGGTGTTGACTTCTTGATGTGTAGTGTAACGTTGGTAAACAGCGATTCTACGTCCAACGAGGCTCTTATCCCTGTGGCCCGTGTATATATATATTATATATATATATATATATATATATATATATATATATATATATATATATATATATAATATCAATTATCAAAGGCGACGTGTACTTGTTTTTAGGACATTGTACCAATTTCTTGGCTGATAACACCTCCAAGGAGTGCCGGACCAACCGGGCTGTGGTGGGTATGTGGGCCTGCGGGCCGCTCCAAGCAACAGCCTGGTGGACCAAACTCTCACAAGTCAAGCCTGGCCTCGGGCCGGGTTTGGGGAGTAGAAGAACTCCCAGAACCCCATCAACCAGGTATAATATTTCCAGGTTCTCTTCGTTCTTGGTGATTCGTAACTTCATATTTACATACACCACATGTATAACATTAACAGGTTCAAGGTACATGTTTGTTTGAGTGTCTTGGTTGTTCTGTTCTACAGTCTGTGTTGTCTTTGTTGATAGTCCAGTCGTTGCTGTTTCTTTTATGTTGGATTTGTTTGTTCTGCTGAATCTGATCACCTGGAATCATTTAAATTGAAAAATATATTTTCACTGGCACTTTTCACTGGCACTTTTTACTGGCACTTTTTGCTGGCACTTTTTGCTGGCACTTTTTGCTGGTACTTTTTGCTGGCACTTTTTACTGACACTTTTCAAATAGCGAGCAAAAAGTCAGTTGTGGTCTTGGTAAATGTGTGACACTGGCTGGTTGAGCCACGTGTGTCCATGTTTTTCTTACTGTCTTTTAAAATTAAATATAAATTTCAATGATTACAATTTTACTGTCTATTGTGAAGCACTTTGGAAATTGTTGGATTGGTTTGGTATCAATGTCCTAGTCTCCTTGTCTCGGGATATGAAATACATTGCAAGAGCACACATGGGGGACACACACACACACACACACACACACACACACACACACACACACACACACACACACACACACACACACACACACACATAGGGTGTGTGTGTGTGTGTGTGTGTGTGCATGTGTGTGTGAGCAAACAAAATTGTTTGCTATCAATTACAAGTTGTAAAAGTCCAAACTCCACTTGATGAACGTTTACCTCAAACACAACTACAGCCCCGGGCCCACACTCGATTTAGGATAGGGGCCTCGTAGCCTGGTGGATAGCGCGCAGGACTCGTAATTCTGTGGCGCGGGTTCGATTCCCGCACGAGGCAGAAACAAATGGGCAAAGTTTCTTTCACCCTAAGTGCCCCTGTTACCTAGCAGTAAATAGGTACCTGGGAGTTAGTCAGCTGTCACGGGCTGCTTCCTGGGGTGTGTGTGTGTGTGTGTGGTGTGGGGAAAAAAAAATAGTTAGTAAACAGTTGATTGACAGTTGAGAGGCGGGCCGAAAGAGCAAAGCTCAACCCCCGCAACATAACTAGTAAACACAACTAGTAAACACACACACACACATACACATGATGTGCTTGACCCCCTGAAATGACCCCATATGGGGGCTTGACCTATCTTGAGGTTATCTTGAGATGATTTCGGGGCTTTAGTGTCCCCCGCGGCCCGGTCCTCGACCAGGCCTCCACCCCCAGGAAGCAACCTGTGACAGCTGACTAACTCCCAGGTACCTATTTACTGCTAGATAACAGGGGACATCAGGGTGAAAGAAACTCTGCCTATTGTTTCTCGCCGGCGTCCGGGATCGAACCCGGGACCACATGATTACGCGTCCAGTGTTCTGTCCGCTCAGCCACCGGCTCCCCCACCTATGGCTCAAGAGATTCATGGGGTCTTAACTTGACCCCGTGAACCTGTAGAGTGGAGGAGGGGGGGGGGGGTTGGAGGTCAATCATTAATTTAATAAAATGAATAATTATTAAACACTATATGAATTAATTATTAAGTTATTAAAACCTGACCTTTTGTATTGAAACAAAAGATTTTTTTGTTTTTTAACGTTTTAAGACATTTTTAAATACATTTCTTTTTAATACGTTTTAATTTAATGTATTTAAAACGTATTTAAATTTATTTTTTTAACATTTTTATTCCTAATCAGTTGAGTTTAATGTGTAGAAAATGTCAACTTTTTATCAACAAAATTGTTTGCTATCAATTACAAGTTGTAAAAGTCCAAACTCCACTTGATGAACGTTTACCTCAAACACAACTATAGCCCCGGGCCCACACTCGATTTAATTAATCTCAATTAAAACCTAAAAACTGTGGAATTAATTTACTCGCTGCCGACGCCGCCGCCGAAGTTGTAGGGTGGTGGTGGTGGTGACAGGTATGGGATGGTGGTGGTGGTGGTCACAGGAGTAGGGTGGTGGTGGTGGTGACAGGTGTAGGGTGGTGGTGGTGGTATTGACAGGTGTAGGGTGGTGGTGTTGGTGACAGGTGTGGAGGCAGGACCAGATTGTGCACACTATCACCACCTGTGTGTAAGGAAGGCAAACACTGCCCCAGTACCTGTGTCAGGGGTACCGGTACTGACGTGGGGCGGCCTCGTATACCGGCCCGCTCATCCAGTACCTCACAGAGGATGTACAGTGTACCTAGACGCTGGCCCAGTACCTCAGGCATACGTTACTGGTGATACTCTCTGGTCCCGGTACACGGAGACCTTGTTTTTGTACAAATACTTAACATACAAAAAAAGAATAATTTAAACAGGCAGATTGAAGAAATCGAACAGAGACTGAAGCAGTCATATCAGATTGAAGAAAGGCAACCAGAACAGAAAGCAATTCAAGAAATAAAGAAAAACCTAAAATATTTCTTCATGTGTGAAATTAAAAGCAAAAACCACTGCCAGTATTGGACCTATTCGTACGAGTGAAGGGTCATATACTGAGAATGACAAAGAAATTAGTGAAATCCATAAAAAGTTGTCTGTGGACATGTTTAGCACTCGGGTAAACAGCATTAAAGTGGAAGATCCGAACAGCTAATTTATGTGTGATATCTAAACCCCCATGTTAATATATCTGATATCAAAACGAGCACGGCAGATTTTGAAAGAGAAATTGACAATATGCCCATGCACTCAGCCCCGGGTCCAGACTCATGTAATTCAATATTTATAAAGAAATGCAAAGTGCCAGTAGCACAAGCACTCAGTATAGTGTGGAGGAATAGCTTGGACACGGGGGAGATACCAGATGCACTTAGAGCAGCAGGCATAGCCCCTCTACACAAGGGAGGGAGCAAAGCATTGGCAAAGAATTATAGACCAGTTGCACTAACGTCCCACATAATAAAAGTATTTGGGAATGTGACCAGGAGTCAGGTCACTAGTTTCATGGAGACCAATGACCTCCACAACCCAGGCCAACATGGATTTAGAGCAGGAAGATCATGCCTCTCACAGCTACTTGACCACTACGACAAAGTCACTGAGGCATTAGAAGGAAAACAGAATGCAGATGTGGTATACACGGACTTTGCAAAGGCATTCTATAAATGTTACCATGGAGTGATAGTACATAAAATGAGGTCAATGGGAATAACCGGTAAAGTAAGTCGCTGGATACTCAGTTTTCTGTCGAACAGAACACAGAGTAACAATCAACCAAAGAGTAACAGTCAACCATATAAAATCACGTCCAAGTGCAGTTTAAATCTCTGTACCTCAGAGTACAGTCCTTGCACCACTGCTTTCCCTTTTTCTCATATCAGACAGACAAAAATCCAAGTCACAGCTTCGTATCATCCTTTGCAGATGACACAAAAATCAGCATGAAAATTACCTCTGCTGAAGACATTGAAAAACTACAAGCAGATATTAATATAGTTTTCGACTGGACAGCATAAAATAACAATGTTTACAGTGATAAATTCCAGGTACTCAGGTACGGTAAAAATGAGGACCTTAAACATAATACAGGGAACAAAACATATTCAAATCTGCCCATAGTAGAAAAACTGCATGTAAAGGATTTGGGAATAATGATGTCTGACAACCTAACGTTTAAGGAGCATAACCAAGCAAATATTGCGTCAGCCAGAAAAATGATCGGATGGATTACGAGAACTTTCAAATCCATGGATCCCATCACAATGGTTGTACTCCTCAAGTCACTTGTGTTGTCCCGTCTCGAGTACTGCTCAGTACTCACTTCCCCCTTCAGAGCAGGAGAGATTGCTGAAATAGAGGGAATACAGAGAACATATACGGCACGCATAGACGCGATAAAGCAAATAAATTATTGGTATCGTCTCAAAGCTCTCAAAATGTACTCTCTAGAAAGGAGACGAGAGTACATAGAGAAAGATATCAAATAATATAGACGTAGAGGACATATTATTTGAGCAAATAATAATACTAGAGGGACAGGTCCCAAATCTGCACAGTAAAATAACATACTGGAGTGAACGATATGGAAGAAAATGCAGAACAGAACCAGTGAAAAGCAGAGGTGCCATAGCCACAATCAGAGAACACTGTATAAACATCAGAGGTCCGCAGTTGTTCAACGTCCTCCCAGCGAGTATAATATTGCCGAAACAATCGTGGACATAAAGAGAAAACTAGATAGTTTTCTTCAAGAAGTGCCGGACAAATCCGGCTGTGGTGGGTATGTGGGCCGCTCCAAGCATCAACCTGGTGGACCAAGCTCTCACAAGTCAAGGCCGGGCTTGGGGGAGTAGAACTCTCAGGACTCCATCAAGCACGTTGTGAAGAATGTGGAGCAAGAAGGGACAGTACTCCCCCGCGGGAGGCCCCAGTGACCGCGGGAAGGGACAGTACTCCCCCGCGGGAGGCCCCAGTGACCGCGGGAAGGGACAGTACTCCCCCACGGGAGGCCCCAGTGACCGCGGGAAGGGACAGTACTCCCCCACGGGAGGCCCCAGTGACCGCGGGAAGGGACAGTACTCCCCCGCGGGAGGCCCCAGTGACCGCGGGAAGGGACAGTACTCCCCCACGGGAGGCCCCAGTGACCGCGGGAAGGGACAGTACTCCCCCGCGGGAGGCCCCAGTGACCGCGGGAAGGGACAGTACTCCCCCGCGGGAGGCCCCAGTGACCGCGGGAAGGGACAGTACTCCCCCGCGGGAGGCCCCAGTGACCGCGGGAAGGGACAGTACTCCCCCGCGGGAGGCCCCAGTGACCGCGGGAAGGGACAGTACTCCCCCGCGGGAGGCCCCAGTGACCGTGGGAAGGGACAGTACTCCCCCGCGGGAGGCCCCAGTGACCGCGGGAAGGGACAGTACTCCCCCGCGGGAGGCCCCAGTGACCGCGGGAAGGGACAGTACTCCCCAGCGGGAGGCCCCAGTGACCGCGGGCATGGACAGTACTCCCCCGCGGGAGGCCCCAGTGACCGCGGGAAGGGACAGTACTCCCCCGCGGGGTGTAGAACAAAGCGGGGACCATTATGCAGATTTATACGGCCCCGTGTTTGCTCACTGGCGCTCGCAGCAAAATTGTTTTAGGAGCGTTGGTTCAAAGTCCCCGGGAGGCAGATTAATTTTTGTTATCACGCCCAGGAATGTTTTTGTTGTGTTGTTGTGTTATTTAAATATGAACAAATAAAGGCAAATGACGAAAGGTGCAAATTGCGTGTTTGCACGCAAGCGACTGTGAAACTGTGTGTAAAATTTACTATTTCTGCCTGCAGGATCGAGCTATTAGCTCTTGGGCCCCACCTTTCTAATGGTGTTTGTCAAATGTACCGACTCCCGACTTATTTTCCTCGTGTCTACTACATATATTTCTCACGCAACTCCCTAGGATGGAGCCCTCGGGAGCTATTTTAACTCCCGGGGTACTTATTTACTTCTAGGTGAACAGAGGCATCAGGTATAAGAAACTCTGCCTGTTTGTTTCTGCCTCGGTTGAGAATCCTTAGGACTATAACCTCCGAAGAAGGGCACAGGGACCTCTAACCCCGGAGACCGCCGTGGTCGGGCTCAGCCCCGAGGCCGTGTACTCACCTAGTTGTGCTTGCGGGGGTTGAGCTTTGGCTCTTTCGTCCCGCCTCTCCACCGTCAATCAACTGGTGTACAGGTTCCTGAGCCTACTGGGCTCTATCAAGTAGTGTGTGTGTGTTCACCTAGTTGTATTTGCGGGGGTTGAGCTTTGCTCTTTCGGCCTGCCTCTCAACTGTCAACCAACTGTTTACTAACTACACTAACTACTTTTTTTTTTCACACCACACACACACACACACACACACACACACACACACCCCAGGAAGCAGTCCGTGACAGCTGACTGACTGACTAACTCCCAGGTACCTATTTACTGCTAGGTAACAGGGGCATTCAGGGTGAAAGAAACTTTGCCCATTTGTTTCTGCCTCATGCGGGAATCGAACCCGCGCCACAGAATTACGAGTCCTGCGCGCTACCCACCAGGCTACGAGGCCCCCTCGTAGTGGGGCGCGCGTGTGTGTGTGTGTGTGTGTGTGTGTGTGTGTGTGTGTGTGTGTGTGTGTGTGTGTGTGTGTGTGTGTGCGCGCGCGCGCGCGCGCGTGTGCACAACCCATCCTCCTGTTTTGGTAGTACTTATAAGATAACAATGAGGACCATAGTATATATATATTCCGACGTGCAAAGAAATTAGACCGTAGAAATCGTCACTATTAAGATGGACAAACCGGAAAACTACTTTTCTTATGACAAACTAAACTAACCTGACCTTCCGAGGCCTAATACACGATATCTGAGGCGTAATATAGTACATATATGTACTATACTAGGCCTATGAATGTTTGTTTTTTTTAGCTTAATTTTTTCCCGACTATAAAGTGGATAGTACAAAGTTCTACTAATTGCTTAGGAAGGGCAATCTCTGTACTAAGAACCGGGGGCCAGATTCACGAAAGCACTTACGCAAGCACCTACGAACATGTACATCTTTCCTCAATCTTTGACGGCTTTGGTTAAATTTATTAAACAGTTTACAAGCATGAAAACTTGCCAATCAACTGTTGTTTTTGTTATAAACAGCCTCCTAGTGCTTCGGAGCTCATTAACTGTTTAATAATTGTAAACAAAGCCGCCAAAGAGTGAGACCAGATGTACACGTTCGTAAGTGCTTGCGTAAGTGCTTTCGTGAATCTGGCACCGGGCTAAGAACCGGGTTAAGAACCTGTCTAAGAACCGCAGTTTTAACGGCAGGATGACGCGGCGCAAGTTTCAAAACACCCGCAAGAACACTACACATTTGCAACATTGCTGGTGTGTTCATCTCGTGTGCTGTCACGGAGAAGCAACGCTCCAAATTTACAAGTATATTAAAATTGACGTGAATATATGAATAGATATAAAAAAATTATATATAAATGTGAATGATAATTTATGATTTACATTGTAGTCAATTCAGTAAGACGAAATCTTCACTTTAATAGTGGTAGAAGCCTCCTCCCACGCCTCGCCCTTGGTAGGGAGGATGGACTGGGCACCAACCCGTTTGTAAACTGATTGATGGGTGGTGTTCCAGGGTAAACTGTTAAGAGTAAGGTTTACTATGTGCTATGGGAAGGGAAAGCTCTTGGCCTGGAGACAGCAGTCGTCTATACTCTCCCGTGTGGCCAAGCCTGACGTCGGGCCGGGCTCAGGGGCTAAACTCCAGCCCAAAACCACACCGGGTATACTCCAGGTATACTCCAGAGCCAGCACGACAACTCTGGAGACGAGTTTTCACCTCGACTGTCGTGGTTAGAAGCCTACAAGTATATTTTAGTCATGAGTATAGTTGTGACTCTGAGAGAGAACTCTATCAACATCAGAGGCCCGAGACTGTTCAACACGCTTCCACTACACATAAGGGGCATAACTGGCCGACCCCTCACAGTGTTCAAGAGAGAACTGGATAAGCACCTCCAAATGATACCTGATCAACCAGGCTGTGACTCATACGTCAGGCTGCGAGCAGCCGCGTCTAACAGCCTGGTTGATCAGTCCAGCAACCAGGAGGCCTGGTCGACGACCGGGCCGCGGGGACACTAA